TGGAAATTAATTTGTGAATTGCAGAATTGCAGAATCCCTTTTCTTACATGTTCTTTTCCTTGAAAATGATTGTGTCTTGATTTGCTTCTCGAGGAAATAACTGAGTTCCCAGCAGAGCGAGTAATGATTTACAGGAGCAGTGATTTACCCTTAGGCTGGGAAGTTTCATACAGAACGGCCAAATCCATTTAAGCACCTTGTGCCTGCAGCAGGCAGAAATACTTCACATCGACCAGAGATCTCCCTCCTGAATGTGGAGGAGGTGAGAATGGAGGGGGCATGGTCATTCTCTTGCATTTTTGTTACAATGGGGATTTTCAACAATCAGCAGTCAAAAGACTGCTGATTTGGGACTGTTGAGCTCCCGTTGTTCTGCCGCAAGGAATGCTTGCTTAGCTGGTGAGTGGACACGTGGCAAGTAGAGGCTTCAGCAATTAACTAAAAATCCAGAGAGGTGGATCAGTGTGATGGACACGAGTCCCACAGAAAGCAGAGCTCTGCTCATAGACTCCAGTTCTATCTTGTGAGTTATCAGAATGAAAATCAGAAACTAGCTGTCCATGGTGTTGTCTGTTCTGACTGCAAAATCCAGAGATACGTGAGGTTTAACTTTTCCTCCTCTAGTCCTTGCAGGAAATAAAATCTGATCAGGGAGCATAGTGCTATTCAGTGAGCCAGGGTGGGACTAAAACTGGAATTTATAGTCGGATGTGACCTCAAAGCACTAATAACCCTTTGGAAAGTCTTACTTCAAGACCTTGTTCCTCTTTTCCAAGTCCAGACTGTCATGGTCTATGGAAGAGGGTAGAAGTTCAGTCTCATAACCAAAAACTCTGGCAGGCAATTCTCAGGAGGTAGAAGGCAGCTCTACAAAGCATAAGTACATATGATTTATACCAGAAGTACAAGGTTGAAATGCATGCTGGTTTTGGCTGAAATAAAACTATTTTAAAAGTATTTTTTAAATTTTTAATGACACCTGCAATGGAGACTGGGCCAGCCTAAAGCACCTATCTCTACGCTCTTGTCTTTGGAAGAGGGAAAAAGACATGTTAGAGCTGCTCATGTGAAGTTTGAAAGGGGAGAACCTACATTTTCTATGCTGCTTTCTTTTCCCCTGGAAAGAAAAAAACAAAACCACAACACAAAAAAAAAAAAGGTCAGAGAAGAGAAATTGAAGCTTCAGAGCTCCAGGAAATGAGGAATTGCTGTCGCTCAAGCATTATTAAAACCACCCATCTTAATCCCCTGAATTCTAGTCATTGCTCAGCATTTCACTTGCAGCTAAGAAGAGATCAGAGATATGACACTCATATATTACTTCCCACCAGGCATAACGTGTAAGTAAAAGCATCAACTTCTTTTTTGTTCTTCAGAGTGGACTGCAGTCAGTGGGAGTTTTGCTTTAAGCACAGTCTGCCTGCAAAAGAGCATCTTTCACTGAAGAACTTTTCCTTTCTTGTATTTCTCTTTTAAATATAGTGGAAACTTGCCACTTTGAGGTAGCTAACATTGCACAAAGAACCTAAAGGAACAGTTACTGCTGAGAAACTGAAAATGTTACCTATTATTTGATCGATATTTCCTACCACTGCCATCAAATTGGACTGCCAGGGATCCAGGAGTTTTTAAGAGTTAAGACCCTGGAAATGCTTTTCATTCTCTTAAATGGAGAGATGAAGAAGGGCTCCTGTCTGGGTACTTTGTTCTTCGTGGGACTGGTTGTGTCAGATTCACACTGGAGGGAAAAGTGGGACCGACAGCTACTTTTTCTAATTGCTTCTATCTAAAACATCTCATGAGGAATGCTGACCAGTAAGCTGGTGCTGGCAGGGATTTTTGAAATGGGAGCCTGCCACTGGCAAAGCGCAGGAAAAGAAGGTCTGGCATTTTAGAGGCTGAGCTGCTGGCTTCCCTCCCAGCAGTAAGTGAAAGGCAGGGTGACTTCCACCCGTGTCTGTGGCTTCCAGTGTGTCTGTCCAGGACTGGGAACTGCAGAGAGGTCGGGTACTTCTACAAGGGATGGAGAGGCTCTGGAAGGACACTGCTGCCACCTGCTGTGACATTTTGCTTTTAAATACCCAAACCCAAGCCTTGAGTAATGCTACTGCCTGAAGCTTTTTCAGTGTTTTCCCATCGGGTTTGCCTAGTAGGGTTTAGAAAAAGATGAATTGCTCTGCGGGTGTTAAACTTCATTTCGTGGTGGTGTTCCCCCATGCTGTACTGAACACCCAGAAGTACTCCACGAGCCATGGACCACAGCATCCGCCTGGCCCGAGGAGAGCATGGCTAATTGCTTCCTACCTGTTGCTTATCGTTGGCAGTGTCACCTGGCACCTCCACCGCTGGAACCTGCCCGTGGCCTACAGCATGTGACAGAGAAGGTAAGGAAGGACATCTGCATTAGGGGTCCTACACACCATATAGCCTCACCCCCAGATAAAATTCAGTGTTTGACTTGCTGGTCTTTTAATTATTTTTAAAACCAAAGCTATTTAGCACTTCCTTAGATTAATTTTTTCAGAATTACAGGCCCATGAAAAACCTTTTCTATTCTACTTAGAAGACAGTTTGTTTAAAAGCGCTCAAGTTTCGTGTGCTGAGTCAAAATCCCACTTTCACCAACTCTCTGTAAGATTGCTTCTATCCTGAAAAGTGAGTGAAAAAGTGGTGCCCTTTTTTGCTCAAGTGACCACTTTTCCATGATTTGTTGAGACCAGAGAGTTATCTAAGTTCTTGAGGCTCTTCTGCCTACCATATTTAAACACTGTGGCACAAGCAAAGAAAATGCTACTCAGCACTGCAGATCATTTAAGACTCTTGTTGAGATCACTCAGCTGCCATCTCTGAAAGAGTGAAAACACATTTTGCGGGCACTTGTGCTGTGAAAGGCTCTTGGTGTTTTGATCTGTGACTCATGTTACGGGTACACACCTTTTACAGTTGACCATTTGTAAAGGACGGAGTACTTGGACAGAGTGTGAAGAAAGGAGTAAATGTAAAGAATGGATGCCTTGCAGAGAATAGAGCACTTGGATCACTCACTTTTTAAGTATATATAGGTGTGTGTGTGTATATATCTATCTATATATGGTATTTGCAACACTGTAAGAATAATGCTATACCATCCCTAGGAAGCACATAACAAGGCACCCAGAACCCACTAATTCAAACCTCCCAAGGAATAAACACTGCAGTACCTTCACAGAAGCTGCGTCCCACCACCGGCTCACATGGAGGACAGACACCTATGATAGCTCTCCTTTCTCGCTAAAGCACATGCGTAAGGAACAGCCACAGATGCACACAAGTTTTTCTTAACTGTTTATGCAGCTGGCAAACCTTGGGTCTTCCATCCAAATCCCTAGGTTTAAAGAATGAGCCCAAGCTCAGACTGTGTTACCACAGTTGACACACATTTCCTTTTAGATGTGTAAAATACCAAAAGAAGTTGTGTAGGCCCCTGACCTACGCAACTTATAGGATGAACAAGCAAAAAGAATAAAAGAAGAATGACTTTGATGTGGAAAAATACTGAAAAATCTATGTAAGAACTTGATTTGTAACCACTTCATCATCAGCAAGGGGATAAGGAGCAACCACTGTGAGCCTGCTGAAGTCAAATTGAGTCAAACTAATTTAACTGCTTTCTTTGGCAGCATCCCTGGGCTATGGAGCAGTTTGCAAACTGGTAGCCAGAAACTTTAGGGACTGGTGGGGCATGTGACACCAGAAAGCTGCTGGGAACACAGCAGTGACTACAACTAGGTAGTGGCACCTGTGACAAGGATAGAGATTTGGAGCACCATAGAGAGGGCTTCAACCAGGCAACAATGAAGAGCAAGAGCAGACTGAATCTGGTTGTTGGCAGCCATGTTCTCAGGTCACCACTTCTGATTTTCTCCTGCCCAAAGTCTAGAGCAAGGGACACTCTTAAGGAGTTGCATACAGTGCTGTGACCCCCTTGAAGCACAGCATGTTAAGAAAGTTGCTGCTAAACAAATGTTTTAATGTTGACAAAAATGTAAAGAAAGATTAAAATATATCAGCCAGGTTCAGTCTAGAGATGAGAGAGTTGATGAGGACAATCTTCAGATACATAATACATTGGCATAAAAAGAATGGTGATGAGTTATTCTTCATGTAATTGGCTCGGTCCTTTTAGGTTAATTCAGTGTATTTGGGGAATAACTAGAGTAACAGTGAAATGCTACAGGAAGCAACTTAAGTTGGGGAATATGCCATATGGGAGGCTTCTGGACAACAGGAGGACAAACATCAGTTATGAAAGGTTGAGACATAATTGATGTGCTTCAGAAAAAGGGAAATTGAATAAATGGCTTCTACAGTTCTCTTACAATCATGTGTTTGATTCTACAGTTAGCATGAATAACACTTAAGCTTGCAGAAAGTCACTACCTTTTTTTTTAAAGTAAGTTAAACTTACAGGAAGAAAAAATAATGAAATTAAACCATGTAGATTTATAGCTTAAATTTGGTAAAACAATTCAAGTAACTTGATCTTTACATGTTAACATTGCTATTCCATGCCGTCAACTTCACTAAAACCAGTTTAAGATACGTAACTGCTATTTCCATGCTTTTTCTGAAGAGAAGCAACATTACTAATAAATTAACATCAAAATAATTTTCTTTATTGATAGTAATTTTATATTACAATGTAGACTAAGTTCTATTTGCATATTAGTCTTTAAAGGAAACCAAAATAAAATACATACATTAAAAACAAACAAAACCAAATCCTTAAAATTACTAATGACGATGTATACTTTCAAAAATCCTGATATTCTATGACTGACTTAATGAACATTGTAATTCCAAACCAGAGTATTTTATTGTCATCAAAATTCCTATTTGTTTTCAGATAGGAGTAAAGCCTCACAGAGGAAAGGAAGGTTAAAAACTGTGCATATGACTTATTTTACAATTAGTGCTCAGATGCTTATTGGGTTCTGGAGGCAATTTACTAGACTGATAGATATAAAAATATAAAATCATCTTTATTAATGAGGTATGCATTTATTCAGATCAGGTTTCTTGGGATACAGCCTTCTATTTGGATTTCAGCTGGCCAGCCACGGTACCTGTTGTTCTTGCCAGCGTGGTTGATCTGTTAAAAAAAATTAAAATTAAAAAAATCAATATTTGGTTCTCTATTTACAAACTAGATTGTCAAACTTCGTACAACAGAAGGGGGTAATGGGGTGTGACTGGGAAACTAAGTAGCATGTTGCACATCTTGCTTGACATAATGGGTGAAAACTCCACCAGTTTCTCTCTTTCACATAGTGCTTCATTTTTTTCCCAGATGGCTGTCATAATATACTCTAAATTGACTACCTTCTCCTGCAGAATTGCAACAATATTCTGAGAAAAAAAACCAAACCTATGGAAGTTTCAGACGCCTTTGGGAGGGAGTCAGTATCATCAAAAGAACTGACCTCTGTATTGGGTTTCTCATTTCTGTCTGCTGCTCTGTCATACAGATGAGCACTACTGGGCTTATAGAAGCGAATACAACAAGGTCACAGATGCAAACAGAAATATGATATTAAAATAGTACCTTTAGTCCTCCTGAAGCCAGAGGGCAAGTTATTCAGAAAAGCTTTGTGATGCAAGCATTGCTGTATTTGCAATACGGCCAATTTGAGACAGCCCAATTTTCATATAAAAACAGTCTTTTAGGAAGTCCTTGGAATTTGTCCTTCCAGAAGAAGATGTAAGACTCTGTACAGCGTGTCAGGTTGGACGTTTCAAAACTGAGATGTTCTGAAATTTGTCTACAGATGATTTAGTGCTGGTGTGGTAGAAGTCAGTACCCTACATGGCCCAGGTGCGAAGCAACAAATGATGACACATTAGAGAACTCGCTTTGTGCAACTGAGGCTTACTGAACAGACTATAGCCACTACAGGTAACACACACAATCTGCACCCCAAGGTTATACCTAATATAGAGACAAATATAAAATGAAAATAAAATTAACCTGACCTTTTCTTTTTGGATATCGTCTGGCAGCTTGAAGCCTTTGGCAGCTATAAAAGCCCAGCTTGACCTGAACTTCATGTTCCGTATTTGTTTACTTCCCAGCTCTTCTACTAATTTTTTGGCGTCATCTTTCAGCCTAGGATAAATTTAGTGAAAAAAAAAGTGTTAAAAATTCAGGATGTGAAAATGCTGAAAAAGAACACAACTGATTCATGCTTCACATTAGTAGGTCAGCAGAAACAATGAGAAGTTTAAAAAATCCTGAGAGCTGTCCTAGTAGCCATTAAAATCACAGAGCAAAATTCTTTTTCTTCCTTCTCTACATTCCTGATGTTAATACAACCTGTTTGTAACAACACAGCAGAAGAAAAATGTATCTAAAATACTATTTCATGTTTCTACTCTTCTTAAATAAGGACAAGGGCATCAAATGTTTATCAGTGAAATGATTAAGTCTTTCCCTGTGTAATTACCATATAATGAATTAAAATAAAAGAACTCTAAGGTATGTAAACACTTGAAGAATCAGGTGAAGATGCAAGAAGGAATGCAAACTGGATACATTATAATTGGAGGCATGGATACCTTCTTAATAGAGGACTGTGACTCAGAGGTAACAGCAGTTATGAGGACAGTTGGTGCTTTTCAACAAATACAGCACTATCTCTCCATCTCTGAAAGCATCAACATGCATGATAAGGGCAAGCACTGAATTGACATGGAATCAAAACCTTTTAGGCAGGTAATGAGAGAACAGCTCTGCCGATTGAGTGAAATTTACTATTCCTTTACCCCGTCATGCCATGGTGATTTTCAAGCTATTAATTGCTCTGTTCCTCAGCCTGTCATGAATAACTTGCTTACCGGGTGCTTCCATCGTCATGAGTCACCATCAAAAGGAGGGACCCTTCTGGCGCATTTTTAATGAAATTCATCAGCTCTCCTGAGTGGTCTGTTGAATCAATTACACAACTGATTATTCATTACACACGTACCACATTCCACCTACTTTCAACTTGTTTTCATTTTTTGGCCTTGTCTATTCAAAATGAGACCTAATCAGGCAATTTTTCTGTTTACAGGCAGAGGGCCTAATCCTGAAAGGTGCAGAAAGCTGTTAGCTCTTGCTGAAGTTAGCAGAGCATGGGTTTATCTGCATTTCCCAGTAGCAAACAAAGATACTTCTGAGCTTCTTACAAAAACCTTTTACACCCAAGGTAAGAATATAGATGGATACTGATAATTTCTTATGTTTACTTCATACAACATTATACATGCAAGCAAAGCATGGAATAGCCCAGGAGAAGTCACAGCTATTCTGTGAGCTTCCTTCTACCACTCTAACTGCAGAGCTGAGTTACACAGCCCACTGTACACCCACTTTCATTAAGTGGCAGCCTATTTGCAGCACTAAGCTATTTATTGTTTTTGTGATTGCTAAACATACACAAGACGCTTGTTCTCCACACAAAAAAAATAATATTTAACAAGAGCCCTAGAGACGTTACAATCTACATACCGTATATAAAATTGTAGCCCCATTATTATTCCCCATGTGATTTCTATTCATGCACCTAAGGTCACAAGCATTCTTAAGTGGTCAGAGAACCAGCTTCCAGTGCCTCATAGCATTCTGTTTCTCCTTACTAATAGGTAAGGGAACTGTTACGGTTCAAAGTTTGTGTTAAAAGCTATTCTTAAAGAAGATCACCTTTCTAGCTACACGAAGGGATGTTAAGAGATAGACTAGCATATTTCCCGTGATGATTTGTCAACTGAAACCGAACAAAACATGCCAGGAAAAGGAATTTTGCTCAGTGAAGTATCTGGATGTGGTACTTGGTTAAGTGCAATTCTTACCAGACTGAAATAATGGAGGGAAAAAATAAAAAAAGACAATTAAAAAATGACAATTTGACAATTAAAACAAAAAAAAAGCAGCAGTAAGACCATTTTAAAAAAGACAATTAATTTCTCAACAAACAGGAGAAATTCAGCTTTTCAGGCAATATGAAGACAACAGCTGTTTGTTTCTAGCTAATCCCCTTCAATAATACAATCACAGTCATTTGAAAGAGCAGAATAATTATATAAGTCCTTTCTTAACATGGAAACATTAACAAAAGCTCTATCACAGTATTTTCCCTACCTCCTTGCCACATGTCAAAATATTTTGCCGATGTAAGTTTTCCTGTTTTATCTGTAATTAGAAAAAGTTGTGTAAATATAAGCAAAAATTGTTAAATTAAATCAGCATCTACAGTGTTTTCAGCTAAAGCTAGGCATCTCTAATTTTGTGTCTCGTGCTTCTGAGGTTTTTTTTGTTTAAGTTTTTAAATTGGAAAGAACATGGAATAATATAAATTTAAGATTTGGGGAGAATATTTTCTTTCATTTAATCTCTGAATCATCAAATGTGACTAAACCATTTCTTACTTTAAAGAAGGAATTTAGTTTACTGTGTGCTTCCATGTTTTTATATCTACATATACTATACTAGGCCACAACCATAAATAGGAAAATTAGTTCTGCCTAAGACTATTTGAATGAGCTTAACACTATTCTGCACAGAGTTTCAGACGTGCAAGCTTTCATAGCATTAGAATCTCAGGGAACAGACACTCAACACTCATCATTACCATATCAGAAATTGGGCATGCAAGCAATTGGTCTTTCCAAAACGTTTTGGTCAATATTCATCATTACACAGGATCATAGAACGGTAGGACTTCAGAGATCATCTAGACCCATTCCCCTGCCAAAGCAGATTGACCTAGAGCAGGTTGGACAGCAACAGATCCTGTTTAGAAGGCTATCTTTTTTTTTAAACAAGACATACAAATTGGAAATACTTTTCAAATTCTACTTCCATGCCAACTAAGTTTATTGATTTTTTGTTATCTGAGACCCATATCCCTGCTACATGAGAGAGCCCTCTCCATTTAGAGTGTATCAGCTCATTTCTAGTGAGAAGATCCAGCAGTTCCCTGATTCATTTCTGGTTTATCTTTGATCCATATACAGTAAAATCATGAAGGCAAATTCCTCTGAACATAGGATTCAAATCATTCCATGATTCTAAATGGCAGGTTTATCACACTGATGAGGGGAATAGGTGGCAAAAATCTGTCACTGATAAAAAAGCATTCTAGAACTGGACTGCCTCTGAGAGGAGATCATAAAAAAATGGAAAAGGCTGTAGTGGAGGTCCATATAATTCCACAAAATTCTCCCTCTATGACGTTAGCTTGGGCTTAATAGTTCTGTTTTCGTTCTTACAAAAGAACATATTCATTCAGAGAAGAAAGAGTTATCATTATGGAATAAAATACAAGTGTGATGCCACAGGAAACTTATTGAGCACAGTCATTAGCTTGACTGATCTAATTGAAGGACGTGCAGAAAATACGTCTCACTACAAATTGGTTCAAGCCAACGGACAGATTTACCTGCAGCTAAAATAGCTAAGTGTAGCTAAAATAACTAATGTGTGATGAAGGAAATGTTTAAAAATATGTAAAATTTGGTATTATTTCTCCTCAGTAATGTCAGATTAAAAGACAATGCTAGTTCCCTACTCCTATTTGCTATAACCTTGCTTATGCATTCAGGATGAGTATTTGCCCTCTCTACAGCTCTATGCTGAAAACTCATTTTTAATCATTTACCCATTATAAGCAGTAAAGGTTTTATGACTCCTTTTTGGAAAAAAAAAAAGCAGTACTTAACTGGGAATAAAAAAATTTGGAACAAATTCTTGTCTATGGTAATTTAACCCAGTGACTTGACTAAATTCATGCAAGTTCAGACATGGTCAAGACCTTGCCAAGCAATACTGAGACAAAACAACCTGGAACGTGTTTTGTGATCAAAGCCAACTTAACTGTGCATCTGAACTTCCTTTATTCCCCTCCCCCACAACATCTAAGCACTAATTTCTCTCAGAATTCATTATTGAATACACTACACTTCATCACCATTCCCTTGGTTACACCTTGGGGCAGAAGTGCAATTCTCAGTTACTACCTGTTGCTTATCAGTGGAGCAGTAGATACCTTTTATCAAGGACTGAACTTGAGTCTTACTGTTGGAGATCATTGATATTTTTGCTATTTTACATGAGAAACAGTTCTTTTATCTAATAAAATACACATATACTGCTTCTATGTACACATTTTCTATTTTCTTATATGGATCATGAACACGTATCTTTTGTTTGTCCAGAAGACTATTTCTCTCAAACACAGATTTGGTTTTCCTACATTTAACATGAATCAATTTTGCGATTTCTTCCTTTTTGTTTCCTTCAATACCAGCCAGTAAAAAACCAAACCAACCAACCAAAAACCCCAGTTCCCCCAAGAACCTTTGTAAATTATTGCAGTATGTCTCTCTCTAACATTTTTTCTCTTACTTACAATTCACAATGGCAATGTTTATACCTCTTCCAACGTTACCCTTCTCTTCGCTTATAAGCCTGGAATCGAAATAAATACAGTATCAGTAGAATGCATCCGTCCATAAGGTCTGATCTATAGTTATATTTACCAATGCTAAGTCACTTTCTGATGTTCATGTTTTATTCAGTTATTTAATTCAAGGCTTTGTAGTAAACAAGAGCTATGGCTTAAAAATCTTGCATATTATATCAGTCAGTTTCCTTCAACAACACACAATGAGTCTTTCAAAGTGAGGAAGATCAAGAAAGTACTTCATACAAATGCAGCCAGAAAGATAAAGTAGGAAATAAACCCAACAAGATAAAATGTGGGTTTGTGGCTGTATTCTGTGTGGACTATTATCTACACAAAAGATCTTGCAAAGTTTTGAAGTCACTCTACCTGTCCAGTTTGAAAAGGCATAAAAGAACCTGACTTTCAGAAAGTGTTGATCATTCAACACTTTACAACTGGCTATTCGGCCCCATGAAAATTAAAAATCATACTTGAAGCTAAAAGCTGAGTGCAGCCTATGTAGAAGAACAAAGAAAATAACCTGAGATTAGGTATTAAAAAAACAAAACAAAACACAACCAAACAAACCAAAACCAAAAAGAGTTAAATACTGTCAGATATATTCTGAAGTCTGTCACCAGGAGTCCCCTAGTAGGAGCTTACTTGCTGCTACTGAACCAAAATGAAATATCCTTCCTCACACTATTGAGCACTTGCTTAGATTTAAAGTTAGACTGGTACTCACAGATCATCCTCAAAACAAATTTTAGCCAGTTTTTCTGTGCCACCACCACTAAGAATCCGATAGGCGTAGTCCCCAGGTGAGCAGGGAGACCAGTGATCACACTTCTGCCTTTTTGGGACTGGGGCTACAACAACAAAGATGAGAAAATGTTTTCTTAGATGCTGCATAAACAATTTCCACATGGAAAGAATCACTTAATGTCAACATGCTAAGCTCAAACATATATATATACAGAAGCCAATACTGACAGTTTTCCAGCATCATGGCAACATTATCACGGATTTGCTTGGGCTTTAAGTTATCCCTGAATTTCAAACAACCACTGGGACCAAGAGCAACCTTACCTAGGAAAAATGCCCCATCTAGTATAATCTAGAGTAAATACTTTGTGCTATTTCATATAACAGGAAACAAGGGCTAGAAAGATGAAGGATTCCTTCCAACTGGTTTAAGTTAATGCCATCATTCTCATTTTAAGCCTTTTTAACACGATAACATAGTTATAGAATGAGAAAAATATACACATTAAGCCACCCAGTCAGATTAGAGGAAAGAACAAATGGGAATTTAATCACAAAGTTTGGTTAGTGATTCAACATTTTACTGTAACTGTTATACATGTGATAGAACCAAAGCTGCAGCTTTGTGCTTACGTGCCAGCAAACGAGTAAGGTTTTCTTACATTACTATTTAATTAATTATATTTGCATACTGGCAAAATAGAGGCTGATATTGTGTTTCTTCAAAGACAGCGTCTAAGAAATAGTTCACACTTGCACTAATTAACATTACACAGCCAACTTAATTCTTACAATAGCACATACCAAATAATCTTTTATTAGCTAACAAGCCATTTGTCATTTAGCATGTAAATATACAACATTAGATATAGTATAAGGAAAACAAAAATACAGCCACACACCCTTCAACACTGGTTTCTTGACAATCTGTTGAAAATTAGGTACTGTTACTGCGCCTTTTGGTACAACAGCAGCAAAAAACCATCCCAAGTACCAAGCAGCCAATGACGCAAACAGGAGCCCCGCTGATTTCACAAAGTCTGCCAAAGGAAAACAAAAAAACCCACACAAACATAAAGATGTTTTCATAGCAACACATGAAATCTTGTATTCTCTCTGGCATTGCTACACAAATTGGCTATTTTATTTCTGATATACTGTGTTAACCACAAACTTCAGATATGCGGAAAGAGTATTTGTTGCATTGCCATCTCTGACAACCACTTTAATTTCTAAAACTTGATCTTCAAGCAGAAAACTCCCTCCAAGTCTCCCCTCAATCCATACCCATAATATCCCAAAGAAACATTATGTTCAACTTAATCCTAGTAGGATTTTGTCTCTGAGAAGTTAAGTACCAGATACTACACATGACTATACAGGTAACATGCAGTTACTATTGATCTTCTGTGACAGGCACACACTACAGGAATGGTTTAAAATGCTGATCATAGAAGTCACTCCTTCCATCCACCTTCTTTGGCATGCTGGGTACAAATAACTGAAGATCGTTCACACAATGAGCTACGACTGCATTCAAACATGACAAGAGTGACTTTTCACCTTCTCTCAGCTATATCACAGTTTCCATGGATTGTACTAGCAGTACATCTACATGCTATGAAAGCAACAGGATTCACAATTTTCCTGATAATGAAGAAATATAAATAAATTCCATTTTGGATATCTCCTCTTCCTCATCATCCTAAGTGCTAGCATGCATTCCTGATCTAGAAGAAAATGCGTCACCCAATTTATGTCGCCAAACAAGGAAATAACACTCTGTAATTGTGCAACACTGATGTTTTGATATCACAAGATACTTTCTGATCTGTAAAGAAACATGTCCTTCAACATAACCATCTGTTAAAATGAAAATTCTTCGTTTCATAGTCCTGAAAATCAAATTCAATAGAAACAATGTCCAAAAATATTAAATATGTTCACTTTGTCAACCTGCTAGAAAATACTGTGTATTATTTAGCCTAAATCTTCCTTATAACCATTTACACTCAAGAAGATGCTCCTTTCCTTCTTGTAAGTGCCTTTTATAAATATTAAGATTTCTGCCCTACCTCTTCTCTAGAGTAAGGCCAAATAGTTAGGCCAAATAGTTCACTTGTTCTCCCCAACTCCTGTTTTGCAGGTCTTAACTGCTCTCCCATGAATTCTGCTCAACTGATCCTTTATTTAGGAGTCCTAAGCGTGTGCATTTGTGTGACTGTAACGAAGATACTGTGTGAAACTTACTATATTTGCATCAAAGGATTGAGAAAGTAATATAATGAAACTTCAGAAATGTAACAGATTTCTCAGTTACTATCTCAGTCTAAGAGAAATATGTCTCACTCTACCACTAGTAGTGGTGCAAATACTGAAAATTACTCCAACATTCATTCATACAGTGAACATATGAACACTGGAAAGGTTCACAAGCACAAAAAAGGAAGCTGCAGAAACCAAGCAGAATGAAACTTAATCACATTTTCTTTTTGAATATTTTAAAATAAATCAGATTTATGCACATTTATTTATTTGCTTAATTAGTAAAAGTCCCAAGTCACACGTTTCAAGGACAAAACCCAGGAAGAATTAGGCGAAAACTACAAGTTTACTTAAAGGTTTCAGTGATTATTTTTTTGGAGGGTGGGGTGCATTCTAAAGATCTATGAGACCATCATTCAGGTTTTGCTTTTCCTATTGTTGGCTTAGCAGCTTTCTCTCTACAATGATTTTGTACTGTTTTTCATCAAAGCTTTTGCATCTTTTGCAAATTAGGCTTAACACAGTGCAGCATTTTACCTCAGTAGAAGAGCAAGCACAGAATGTCTAACTTCTGTTATTATAGTTCATATTTTACTTAAACCTCAAGCTTCGCAAACCTTTCTAAAACGTGCCTTTTAAGGAATACATTTACCAATTCTCCTGCACAGTTTGTACTTCGTTCTCAAAAACTGTCACAAAATATTTTCGCTGCCAACCAACTTCTGCTTTCGCTTTCTTGGATTCTAGGCCACGGGGGGACCACACTGACCCTACCTGCTGGGTCCGCCTGGATCTCCTAGATCTACTGAGGTTACACATCCTGCACCCGTATTCTCTTTTTTCTGAGTACCTGCACAGTCACATATAGAACCTTACATACAGCAACTAAGCTATAAGCTCAGACAAACTTAAGATAGTTAGAAGAGTAGAAGATTTGCCACCCACAGCAGTTGGGAGTCCCAACACCCAAGCCCACTCCATATTCACGAAAGCCAGGCTGTGCTTTTGCTGGTTTCGGAGGCTGTGGCCCCGCAGCCTGCCGGCTGCCGGGCCCAGCAGGGGCTGTAGGTAGAGGGGCATGGGGACGGCGTGGGGCAGAGGGGCTTTGCTGCTCTGGGAGAGGTGGCACAAACCTCCCTCTCTCCGTTTCTGCCACAGAGAGGTTCCCAGCCAGAGACACTTGGGGTGCCAGGGAGGCAAGAGGGGAGCGGCGAGGAGGGAACCCCGAGACCGGCCAGTATGGAGGCCGTAGGACAGCGAAGCAGAAGGAGCAGGTGGCAATTAGCAGTCCTGCCTCTCCCCGGAGAGGTGGCACAAACCTCCCTCTCTCCGTTTCTGCCACAGAGAGGTGCCCAGCCGGAGACACTCGGGGTGCCAGGGAGGCAAGAGGGGAGCGGTGAGGAGGGAACCCCAAGACCGGCCAGTATGGAGGCCGTAGGACACCGAAGCAGAAACCTACCACTTCAGGTGGCAATTAGCAGTCCTGCCTCTCCCCAGCTCCCAACTCCCTTTCTCCCTCAGGTGCTCGCTTGCCCCTTGGCCGCACCTGAGAAGCACTAAACCTAAGGGCAGCGTTTTTTCATTCTATTTTGTGCTGACTTCAGCTCCCCGCGCTGCCGCACCTCCCCAATACACACCCACCCCTACGCAGCAGGACCTTAACAGGAAAAAGGAAAAAGAAAAAAAAGAAAGAAGGAAAAAACAGATTTTAGACTTGGGCTTCAATTATTCTAACCTAAAAAGACAGGTTTCCAT